ACACACACACACACACACACACACACACACACACACACACACACACACACACACACACACACACACACACACAGAAGTGGATTGGCGCCAAAACAAGCCGTTGGGCTTTGAGGCCTCATTTACATGTTGGAGCCTATTTTAACTAGAAGACTGACTCATCGTTAATAATTAACACTCACAGTGATGCTCAGAAACAAAGCTCTGATATAAACAAGAAAGACTCGCAACTGCACGATGTATAGATGCACACATATGAGTGAAAGCGGAGAAATTAGAAATTAAGTGAACCATGAGTGGGGCTGTTTTCTTTTCCACATTCCACTTCACCTTTTCAAGGTCTTTGTGCATTTAACGCTCACATTATTCTGAGCCTGTTGGTTTACTCACTCAACAAAGAAAAAGCTCTGCTGTTTACTTGTCACGCTCTGACGGCTCACCCAATGCTTTTGTCAGTCTTTCACCTTTTTATTCCTTTGCATTCTTTCTCTCTGTGCAAAAATGATTAGCAACTTAATTGTGCCTATTTCTCAAGTCCAGCTTTTTCTATTGGTTTTTTCATTCTTTATTAAGACTCACAACAAAGCTTGCAAACTCAAATCTACAAGCGCTCTGTGCTATTCTTTTTCTTCCACAGTTTCTTCCATTCTCTCTCTTGGCAGCTGAAAGCCCACCTCACTCCTGTGTCAGTTGTGGACATTCCCACTGGATGCTGGTTAGACAGGCTTGTCACTACACTGCTGGCCAGAGAGACAGACATCAATATATTGCCACTCTGCTGCCCCTTCTCATCAGTAGGGGAACACGATTTGGCAGGAGAGCAGGAGGGGGGGGGAAAGGAGAGGAAAGTAAAGAGAAAGGGAAGAAAAAAAAGATGGGTGGGGCCTGCCATCCCTCAGTCTGATTTACAAGCCTATTGGATTTTAGACTAACATGAATCACAGCCCCATAGTGGCATTGCTCCTTGACAGAATGACAGAATGAATGAGACACACCAAATTATGTGTGTGTGTGTGTGTGTGTGTGTGTGTGTGTGTGTGTGTGTGTGTGTGTGTGTGTGTGTGTGTGTGTGTGTGTGTGTGTGTGTGTGTATAAGCAAGGGGGAATGGGAGAGAGACAGGGGTATATTTAAACCTCTTTGAGAATGTGCTTAAAGACATTTCTGTGGTAACAATGGAGCTTAGTTAGAACCCTCTTCATGTTAACAGTACTGCGTGTTCTCCTTCTCCGACAATAACTGGTTCTCAAGAGTATTACCTATTGTGACAGTGTAATGGATGTTACTATTTGTGTCCACAGTTTATATGTGCAGTGATTGAGGAAGTAAGTACAAGTAGCAATACCGCCTTTTGAGAATACTACGTAACGAGTTAAAGTGCTGCATTTAAAAGTATCTAGGACTTCCATAGAAAATAATACATATGGCTCTCGGACAAATGTACTAACAGTTCCTCTGAAATCTAATGTAATAGAACTATAAATTATCCTGAAAAGGAAAAACTCAAGTAAAGTATTAATGTCTCAATTGTGTATTCAAGTCAATGGTCAATAATTCAGTTGTATTCATATGTATCAGATGAACTACAGTTTACTGTATCTGCATCATTAAAAACAAACAATCGTTGGTTTCGATGGCAGATTGTATGACATGCATTACCTTCTTAGCATTGGTCAGGTACGATCTGGCCACCTCCTGCAACGCCTTCCACTCCTCCGTCTCCTCCTCCGTCACTTCTCTTCCCTCTCTTCCCTGCAGTTCTTTGGCTTTCTCCAGCTGGAGGTAGCACACCCAGCCGGAGAGATACCACACCTGGGAGGTACAGAGAAAGAGAGGCGGGTTATGGGGGACGTGAGGCACAGAGACTCAGACAGAGAGAAAGTGTTTTTTGTTGCAGTAACTGAGCTGTGTGTAACAGATTTGATACCCTCACAGAGCACGGCCGCATGAATTCCCACGTTTTCTTTCTTTTTCTGGTTTCACGCATAAAACATGGAATGACACGGATGCGAAAGCAATCCATCACATAATAACAGTCAACCTGATCTAATGCTGACATATACTTTACTCATTAACCAATGCAGCATGAATAATGCACATAAATGCAAATACTGTAGGTTTACAATTAATTTAAACCTGACTTGGCCATCTTACCATCTGTCGCTTCCAATTTGTTTTTTTATCTTTCAAGAGCAAAAAATGTAATAACTTTGTTGAACCATATACCAACACATCATTTATAAAAGCCCTCAGGCACACATCTTTGCATTGCAAATCTTATCATACTCACAGGTTGTGTTGTGTACAATATTACATTTCCTGATCATTTCGATGGGAAACTATTTTTATCTTTATCTAGCTGTAAAATATTTTTGGACTGCTTTGTTGTGTCTTGATAGAAATTGTCCAGAAACTCAATCCGGAGGCATTTTTTAGAAAGCTGGATGACAGTAGTGGGCTAACAAGTGAGTTCGGACTGAATTCTGGTTTTCTAATTACACACTGGTGACTATTTTTGATCAAGGTACATCACCATGGTTACTTCCGCTCCATACCTGATGCAGAGAATTAAAGGCAAACATACAAAGATGTTTCCTTAGAAATCAACGCATTGGAAAAATTGCATCACTATTTCCGTTCTACTTTATTCAAGCATTATGTAAGTTAATTTGCTACATTTTTACGAGTAGAACAAGACTATCATCTTCATTTAATTCAAAACTTTGGACCCATGCATGTGGCAAATGATAGTGGCTATTTTTGTAAATTCTTCTAAAGCCTCATTTATTCAACATGCCAAGAGCTGGACTGGATTGGGCCAACAGAGAATAATCAGATCAATCACACAGAAACACAAGACAATGTCAGGAATAATAGATCATTGTGTCGTTCTAATAGATTAGCTGTCTTTCATTATAACACTGTAGCCCAGCGGTTTTCAAAGTTTGAGGCGCGCCTCCCCGGGGGGGCGCCAGAGAGCTTCAGGGGAGGCGCAGCGTGAGAAAAAAATAACGAGAAACAGTGAAATCTAGCTAGTTAACTTCAGGTAACTTTATGCGAGTGGCAACATGGATCGATTTGTTGTGAAGTTACCTAAAGTGAGAGAGGAGACAGCGTCTGACAGAAAACGTCACTTGCACACTTTTGGCTGTCTGTGGGAACCGAGTTCCCCCACCTCGCCAAAAAGACTGTAAAAGTGCACCTTTGTGAGTGCGTGTTTTCCGCATTGACTTTGACCAAAAGCAAGTACCGGTCAAGGCTGCAGCCAGAGGATGATCTGCGTTTATTCCTGTCTGCATTGCATCCCGTATCATCCGCCTGTGCGCATCAAAGACGCAGACTCATTGTTCCCCCTAAAGTAGGGGTGAGTGTAATAAGGAGGCAGAGTGGATGTTCAGTGTGTTGCCGGGAGCATATAAAGATTTATCCACAAGGTTGAAAATGTTAAAAGAAATATGTTTAAAACATAAAGATAAAAAGGTTTGAAAAAGTTATTGTTTAATGTTTTAAGGAGGTGACGCTACTCAGCCAATCAAATCGGTGCAGTCAGTGAGCACGATAGATTCAAACGATTCAAACACACACAGAGAAAAGACAAGAAGAGAGAAACAGTCGGAGTCATTTCAAAAGGCGTGCTCAAAAAAGAGAAAGGTAGACTGAGTGAAAAACAGAGCATTTAATGACATGTTCTCTTACTGGACCTCTTTGAAATGCAATTGAATACCCCTGCATTATAGCAACAACAACAATAATAATAATAATAATAATAATTGGGAGGGGGGGCGTGGCTGTTCTTATGTTCTCTGAGGGGAGGCTCACCTTCCCACACTTTGTGTGAAAACCCCTGCTGTAGCCTATTTGCCAAAACTATTCAATTTAATTTGGATACTTCCGTAAATGTTGTTAAATTACAGGCTGTTTTTAACATTATTCAGGCTCAGCTCTCTGAGCTTAAGCTTCTTTTAAATGTGGATAAAACCAAGGTAATGCTCTTTTCTAAAGCTAAAGCTAAAAATACACCAGAGACTGCTTTGGATATTGTAACTACGCAAGAAATACAACTTGAAGTGGTTACCTGTTACAAATACTTGGGTATCTGGCTTGATGACTGTCTCACTTTTAAATTTCATGTAAATAACCTGCTTAAAAAGCTGAGGGTTAGGCTAGGTTTCTTTTACAGAAATAAGTCCTGTTTGTCGCTTGAGGCCAGGAAAAGGCTCTGTGACCTTTTTACCTGTGCTGGACTGGTGATTTGTTATATATGAATGCACCTGCCAATTACCTGAGCAAGTTAGATGCTGCGTATCACAGTGCACTGAGATTTGTGACAAATTGTAAAGCACTTACGCATCACTGTACACAGTATACCAAGGCGGTTTTGCCATCACTTACTGTACTGAGGCTCAGTCACTGGTACCTTTTCCTTTACAAAGCCATGTTGGATAAACTACCATCTTATATCTGCTCCCTGATCTCTCGGCAAATTGAAAGTAGTTATTGCCTGAGATCGCATGCTGTGGTTTTATTAAATGTGCCAAGTGCTAGGACTGTCTTAGGGAAGAAAGCTTTTAGATGTGCAGCAAAGCACAGTCTGCAAAAAGAATGGAAAATTACCAAGCTAGTACCACTACATGTTTTTAAAGCTCGGTTGGATGCTACAAAATCAGATGCTGTTGGTACCTGTACATGTGGATAGATATGTAAATTGTAATCCCTGTACATTTTGTTGTATGATGTCCTTTTGTTGTTCTGTTGTTTATGTTTTTATGTTTTCATGTGGAACCTACTGCTGCAGGTCTCCCTTGAAAAAGAGANGCAACTCAAGAGGACCATCATACACGCTCAAATTCCGAACATTTAAACATAGGACTTCATGCACATGCTTCATACAATTCATTCTTTACTTTGTCCGTTATTATATGTAGAAGATGAACTACCTCTCTGAAAGGTCCCAATGTGTTCATTTTGATGGGCTGTTTTCTGAGTGGTTAAACATCACTAATGATTTTCTGACTTCTGACTGCTTTGGATATATAATTACACCACAATAAGGTTTTACTATCACAGTGCACTGAGATTTGTGACAAATTTGTAAAGCACTTACGCATCACTGTACACAGTATACCAAGGCGGTTTTGCCATCACTTACTGTACGGAGGCTCAGTCACTGGTACATTTTCATTTACAAAGCCATGTTGGATAAAGTACCATCTTATATCTGCTCCCTGATCTCTCGGCAAATTGAAAGTACTTATTGCCTGAGATCTCATGCTGTGGTTTTATTAAATGTGCCAAGTGCTAGGACTGTCTTAGGGAAGAAAGCTTTTAGATGTGCAGCTCCACTAACTTGGAACAGTCAGCAAAAAGAATGGAAAATTACCAAGCTAGTAACACTACATGTTTTTAAAGCTCGGTTGGATGCTACAAAATCAGATGCTGTTGGTACCTGTACATGTGGATAGATATGTAAATTGTAATCCCTGTACATTTTGCTGTATGATGTCCTTTTGTTGTTCTGTTGTTTATGTTTTTATGTTTTCATGTGGAACCTACTGCTGCAGGTCTCCCTTGAAAAAGAGATCATTGATCTCAATGGGATTTTACCTGGATAAATAAAGGTTTTGAATTGAATTGAATTGAAATACAGGAATATTGTCGGACTTTGAAGCAAGTAGGCCCCTTTTACAGCAGCCATTTTGACATCTCATTTCCGGAAAAAAATTACGCAATGATGCAATTAATGTAATTACAGGGGCAGGGGCCCAGGGCCCATAAAAAAATGTCTGTTACCTGGGCGCCTGCTCAAAGGCTGTTACCAGTTCTCTGTATTCATCAATAGTTTTTCCTAGCTCAATGTATTTGCAAATATTTGGTAATATTTTAGCCTGTTCTGTTGCAAAAGAACAACCCTTGGCTACATACATGACTCAATTCAACAGAGCACCTTGTAGAGTTGGGAGATACCAACCTTTTAACTGGCTGATTGACCTTATTTTAGCACCTCATGAAATTATGTAAAACAAAATCAAAACTAGCACATTTTGAAATAATCATAACCCTAACCCTGCTCCACAGAGCTCAAACAGTGCGGAGGCAGAATGTTAACTGTAAGTTAGTAGGCTGAAAAACAGTACAATAATCTTGCCTTTTCTGTAATCAAACCTCTTCTTTCACTCACATAATTACATACTCTATGATGTCATGCTTGTTCTTTCACCTCTAAAATCAATCATGTTCAACTCTCAGTGAAATGGAGGTGTGTGTGTTTGCCTCTCATCGAAGGCCAAAGTTCACTCACCACCCACTGTTCCTCGAGCACCAAGACACAAATATTTGCTTTATTCATTATTCATTGAGGGCAGAGGCAGAAGGAACCTGCACCTCTGCCAAATCAACCATTTAGCTAACAAACACATCAAGCATACCACACTAAATTCAGAATTGCCACTGAGCATGCCGAGTGGGAGGCTACCCCCTGCAGCCATACTTATCAGAACAACAGCAGCACTGGATAAATGTAGTAATGTTGCAGAACCAGCAGTAGGACATTTATGTCACTAAAACATTTTCTGTGAATGCAGAATCTCACGAAAATGTGTTGTTTAAATATAAATACATTAAGAAAGGGTGAAATAAGGTCACTTACACATTTGAACTTCCTTAATAACGAGAAACCAATGTTTCTTTAAAGCTGGTCTACCATAAACCGTTGTGTATGTGGTAAGGTGGCTTGTGCATTCACAAAAAATGTAAAACATGAGAAAGTTAGCTAATTAAGAACTTTAGAGCATTCACTCTACCCTACCACAACCCCACATAGAAGCACACAAAATCAAATAAACGCTGCGCCTGTCAATCAAATCACTGAGTCTATTGTCTTTTTAAAGGGAAGGCACATCTTAGTTCCCATATGGTTCTGCTGAAGGAAGAACAAAAGCATCATGAATCAACTGAATACCTTTGAAACAAGATTTGCAAGGAACCAGCTGAGTTGTTTGTGCAGACTTAACAATTTATAAGTAAAGCTCCAACTTTGAGATACGCAAGAGCAAGAAGTCGGAGGCGAGAGCTAACAATTTATCTCCTGCACTTAAGAGAGGAAATAAGAAAGAGAGTAACACAAAAGAGGGAAGAGAGAGGGGGAGAGGAGGGGGGGAGCAGGCAAATCATACACTCCTGACATCACTAGTATGTCTCCAGCATAAAACCAGTGGTACAATCTGCCAAAACACTGTCTGACCATTCCAAGCGGTGACTGTATGCATATGTGATTGGCTACCGGCCAGCTCAAATCAAGTGTCACAGCTGTGTCAGTCTCTGGAGTGAGTTTAAAAGTGCAGCCCCCCGATGACTGCTCTCAATCTGTCAGCTGAGGGGTGTGTGTGGGAGGCTGAGCCTGAGGGGGAGTGGGGGAGGAAGAGAGAGAGAGAGAGAGAGAGAGAGACTGCTGTTCTCCTCTGACACTCAGTGGTACACCTTCACTTAATCTGCCACTGACAGTGGGGATTTGAGCACACTGACAGTGACAGCACAAACTTCCTACTAAAGCGCAGAAAGTACTGCCATTTACATCACTCTTTAATAAGCAGTAATGCAAGTGTGTGTGCACCTTTCTCTGTGCGCACACACATAAACAGTGGCTTAGCAGAAGCAACTTAGTGAACAGGTTGAAGTTTGCTCCTTCCCACAAGTATCCATACTGTGTTATAATAATGAGAATGCTTGCAAGAGGATAACAAAGGCGTCACTTAGTCCTGTGTCTGGGCAAGTCACACACACATCACCAAAACACAGTTTGCTCAAGAGTCGTCAATTGGTCTGGAAACATTAGCCTGATAGTCGGACTGAAGTAGGTCTGACACTGGGTTCGTATTAACACATTTCTTGCTAGGTGTGACCTATGGTTTCCTTAACTCTGGATAATCACTAAGGCAAATTGATGAAGCTGTAGAAGCAGTTGCTAAGAGCTTGACGTTTTTCACGTTTCGTTTGATATGCAGATTTGAGACTTGTTTCTATAGTCACCACACAGCTGCATCTACCTCATCTACTCTTTCATCCCTACACTAATGTTTCGTTGCTATGTCTTCATGGATGTAGCTTACTTGCTATTTGTTTGCATAATACCAGACCAACAGATATAAAATGCTGCGCTTGTTTGGCCTTGCCGGAAATACCACACCAATTAATCAAAACATTTGATAAAAATAACGGATTGATAAACTGCTTCATTTCTGATTTCTGAGTTGACTTTCAGGGGCAGTAAACTCTGCCTTTTCAAACAAAATAAGAAATATGAATAAAAGCTTATCACCACATTTCTTTACTAGGCAAAACAGCTGGGCCATTATTTCATTGCTTACCTGGACGACTTCATCGTCCTCTTCCAGGAGACCCTCCAACACATCTACTGCCACCTGAAGCAGAGAAAGACAGAGAAACAAAGAGAGCGAGTCAATAACGTGCAACAATCATCAGATTAGGGCAGGAATTTCACACGAGGGCCATGGCTTTTCTGACACGGCTTCAACACCAGCATATTTTGAAGGAGGAAAAAAAAATCAGCGGTGCGCTTGATTTGAGCCTGGAATGCACCGCTCGGACGGTCTATGATGACAGTTGACATCGGCTCCTGGGCACACTGTCGGCTGCCTCAGCCGTGGTCAAATATCTGGATTAAGAGGTTGCTTTTTCTTTGCACAGCATGAAAGAAATGCGAAATGAATGGGCTGTGATTTGAGTTTTTTAAGCTGACGTTGAGTTCAATAATTTGTACGGCCCTCGATGGATGTTGTAAAAATTGAAATGCGCCCTTGAGAGAAAAGGTTCCCCACCCCTGGTCATGACAGACAGTTGACATCAGTCTAGACCTATCTCCGCCCACCCCCTCACGCGTCCGTGTGCGTAGGACGGTCTAGGACCTAGCTAGCTGATTCTCCGCTCAAGAAAAGGCTGAGGTGAGGTAAGGTTTTGTGATGATCCTGTTTGCCGTTAAGTTTTTAATTTGTCCAGCTTTAAGTGTAATTTTATGGATAACATTACTATTTCTTGCTCGTATGGTAATGCATAATTATAATATTTTGAAGTGTTTTTGTTACTGCTTGGATAAGTTATGTTGCAGTTGTGTTCTTTTTTTATTATTATCTAGTGCTAGGCAGTTAGCGCTGTGTTGTTAGCTGTCAAAGATAAGATGATGCTTAATAAATATATATAAAAGTATTGTAAATGCATATACAATCGTAGTCACTTCATATCGTATGTTAAATCATTGTTTTAATTTATGGCCTTGGTGCCCTGGCTTTTGGCCTTTGTGCCCTTAAAAAATTGACAACTCAAAAGGCCAAGTGGCCTTGCCCCTAAAATGACGAAATTCCAGGCCTGCATCAGACAATATCATCATACAAATAATAACATTAAAGGTTTAACACATTCATCAGTACACATTCATAAATATAGCCTTGACATGAACGTACAGACAAACATGACCTTATTGCACAAAGTGTGTGCATCTCCCAGAAAGTGCGATCAATCAAGAGTGATCAGAGGATTTGATAAGTGTCTATGAGGTCAGTGTCCCATACACAGCACTTCGATACCAAACAAGACAACAGACATGGCTGTCGATAGACACACTCACCAGTGCTTATCGTACAGTCAATAGTGACTTTGGCTGCCCTGTTCGATAGCCCTTTTAATCTATTTACATTCATTAACATATCATCTATTCTTAAAACCGGTATAACTCTAAAGGATGCATAATAAACTTAAATACCAGCCTGACCCCTCTTATCTTTCATCCCCATCCCTCTCCTTGAGGTCTAAAATGAGTTTAATTTGAGGTGACCTTTGCCATCGAGCGTCACTGTCTGGGTTGGTTTCTGTGGGAAGTTTCTATTACAGAAAGCAGACCTGGACTTGAGGCTGTGTGTTTGTTTTGCTCTGCCTCTCTCCTTGTGGATGCTGTGGTTGCGGTTGGTGTGTGTGTTTTTGTGTGTTTGTGAGGCCCGAGGTGATGATGTATTGATTTTTGTCAACTTCAGGTTGGAGGCGACTGTTAGCCAATCACCCATGGTGAAGGGCAAGAATAAAAGACATGCACGTATCTGTGCACGCACTGACACACTGCTGCATAGTCACACACTACACAAAGCTACACACAGCAGTGAACACAGCAAGCAGCACTTGTTTCTTGTTAAGGCAGACTTATTAGCTTGAGAGCTTCCTCATTTTCTTTTCCCTCACGCTCTTTGGAGTTCTCTCGTCTTTTCATTAAGCCTGTTCGCTTCCGGTGGCGATAAAGAGGTCAGTTGCCAGGGAGTGTCAGGTTAATTGAGATTATCTCATTAAGAGTGTGCAAATGTGCATGTCAGGGAGTCAGTTGATTGATTGCTGGACCAATTATCTTCCGAAAACCCATTGTATTAAATTAATTAATGACTGATTAAAAATACACAAACAAAAACACCAAATCCCAGTTGATGATGAATAGATTCATGTCCAGCGTCAGAATGATCTACTTGACTTTCACTGCATCACACACAACCTAACACACACACAAACACACACACAGTCATTTGTGCTGGGCACTGGATATAACAGATAAGAATAAAGATCTGTATGGGTTTTAAACAACTGATAAGACAGGCCATTTTGGAGCAACAAAAATAGAACAAGAGATATCTGGGAGCAATGATAACCAATATATCATCTCCAACTGTACTGCTTCCTAACTACACTGGTCAACCCGGGGGCTAGTGATTAAAGATTCAGAGATTCTTAAACCGCTTCACGCTCTAAACAACAACAAGATTAATATTCGCGAGGAGATAAGGGGAAGAGAGGGGGACTACGAGGGAAAAAGTGTGAAAATGAGAAGGAAGGGCACAAAAAGGATCTTAAGAAACAATGCAAAACTGGTCCATGAACAACAACAGTGCACTGTGAAGACAAACACACATTGTAAAGACTATACATACATGCTGTCCTCTTTATTTAATTTGTTGTGTGTGTGTGTGTGTGTGTGTGTGTGTGTGTGTGTGTGTGTGTGTGTGTGTGTGTGTGTGTGTGTGTGTGTGTGTGTGTGTGTGTGTGTGTGTGTGTGTGTGTGTGTGTGTGTGTGTGTGTGTGTGTGTGTGTGTGATCTCCAGGCAATTGTGTTTAACAGAATGATTCTACCAGAGCGAACAGCAGTGACAGGAGAAAGACAAATCACTTTACAAGCGAGGGCAAACCGTATCTCCAACACACAGAAACCCATACAAAAATGCAAACACACACTCACAAGCACACACACATGCACACCACACACAAACACATGCACACGCAGGGAAATCTAAACTTAAGTAAATAAATCCTTGGGATGTCAAAGCTAACAGTTCTTTCAAGCAACATTGGAAAGTACAAGCTTCATCGTGAGCTAAATTGAAGAATAGAAATATTCAAGGAATTACATGAAAGCAAACAAGAGTGACAACGACCAGAAGAGTAACTAACCATCATCTGCGTGCGACTACTCTGAACAGACACGTCAATGGCTGCCAGAGGAGGCCGTCTGTCTGTCTGCTATGTGGCATGTGAATTCTTAGTGGTGAGGGATGATGATGATGATGGGGTGTGTGGTATATGTCTGTGTGTTTGACAGTGACTTGAGAAGACTGTAGACTCTGAAGCCCGCATAGTTGCCACAAAGCACTTCTGCTAAAAATTCAGGCAACATGTACGTTTAATAAAAACAGATTGATAAACATTTTTATTAATTTTTTTATTCTTGAAACATGATTTTATGGCTAGTCTTTGAAGTTAGGATTAAATTAATTGCTGAAAACTTGTTTAAGCTGATTGTTTAGATCAACCAATGGTCCAAAACCCAAACGCTTATTACTCACAATGACAAAAAGCTAAGAAAAAAATGCAAATTGTCCCTTGGGAGAATTGTTGGTTTCTTGCTTGAAAAATGATTTATAGGATTAAGAGATTTAAAAAAAGGGATGGTGATTGACAGATTGATTATTCTACCAATCATTTTTAGGATTGGTTCTATCTAAGCAGTGGAAAAATATATAACATATGTATTTTACCGTAGGTAATTGTCCGGCAGCAAATACGATGCTGCTCGTCCTGCACTTCTATATAAAATAAGTATTTTAGGGATTTCTTTGGAGAAGACAGACAACTATCTATTTTGTGATATATCGTCTCCATCATGCTATACAGTTATTTTTCCAGAATAACTATGGAGATAATATCATAACAGCCAGATATTTTGGCAAATGCAATAACTCTATTATTTTTGCCAAATGACTCATTTGCTCAAACTACATAATTGGACATTAATGTACAACCCCAAACTGCAGTCATCAGACAAAGAGCTTAATCTCCAACAGAGAAAGACAAATGCTTTTTGGCGAAGAACAAAGTAGTCCTACCACTTTTGCTATTCTAAAATTAACTGTTATTTAGCACAAATAACCACATTCTCTAGGCAGGAACAGAAAACTCAAATATGCCTCGTACCGGTATGTTTCTTTGGCTTATACATTAAACACAATTTCAAAGCTTGGCTGAGTTTGAAAGAACAAACTGAAAAAATACAGGCAAATGGAAGCACTCTGGCACCCTGCTAAAAAGGTGGCAGAGGAAGCACACAACTTTATACAGAGTGTAGTTGTGAATAGCTATAGTCCATAGGGAGGGATAAATAGCACAAAAATGAGTGAGGGTGTGTGTATATGACAGTGCAGGAGAGGAAGGAAAGAGAAGAGGGTATGTTCATCCTGCGAAGTCCCAGTCTGGGAGTGACAGAAAGAAAATAACTTGCTTCTACTTCACTCCCATCCTTAAGCTCAATTTCCATCAGACCTTTCACATGGCTGATAGCCAAAAGCAAATATGTCCAACCTTGCCCATGGATGAATGTATGCCTGTGCGTGCATGCATACAGCAAAATAAAGCACACACCTAATATGTGCTGTTTGCGTTTCGGTCTTGATGACACCAAAAGCAGTATGAAGACAAATGACATGTCAGAAACTGTGGACCGAGACGTTGCATTTTACTGATGCACATGACAGCCCATCTCCCCCATGTACACACACTCACACACTCACCCACACAGCCACACACACACTGCAGCTGAGCCGTTTAGGAATGATGGGAAAAATGGACACAGTTCTCATTTCCTGTCTGTAATAACCATAAACCACTCAACAAGAGTGACTACAAATTAATCACTGGATCACAACAGAAAATAGCTGAACCACCGCTGGTGCCGCAGTAATCACAGAAAATGACTTGAAGCCTTAATGACTGTTAAGGTTTAGCCCCGAACTGAAGGCATGGAGCCGCTGATTCAAGGCCATTCATTCTGGAAATTGCCGTGTGATCTAGAAGTGCGCCGTATCACAGATATGGCAGCAATTCATTTTAGACTACAGCATCCTTCCTTTTTTTTCTTCACATCCTTCCTCCTGTGCTGCCCCTTACCTCTGTCCCTCTCTGTAAATACCACTCTTCAATTATTGACACTGAACTCTGGAAGGGATAAAGACCAAGCATGGCCTTTCCACCTTCACTGCTATTTACTAGAAGCACATATCCACACATGCGCACACAAACACACACAAATGCCAGGCAGCCCTATTAACAGGAAACATACAAAGACCAAAAAAAGGACATCATTTTACCTCAAATTCCTCAGATTCAAGGAGCAGTTTGGCTGTGGTGACACGTGACTCGTATGGAGGGATCTCATTCTGGGGGAAAAAAGACAACACCGTCATCTTTACAGTGTGTACACAAACATAGTTCTTCCTTTGTCTGATAATGCCACGATCCAATTTCAAGGTACAAAACATTCTGCAGCTATGTGGCTGTTAATCACAGCGAAAGTGTGGGCAGGCTGGGTTTAGATCAACCTGCTCCTGAAGATAAGAGTCACAGCAGTTGTGCCACTGGGATGTTTTTCATATCAACACCCCCTTCCGTCTTATTTATACCACTGTTTCTCAATATTTGAATGTAAACGCAAGTGCCATTTATTTGGTGTAGTTGAGAACCTACCCTGCGTTGACATTAGAGCCATTTATTTCTTATTGCCAAATTCCCTGTAGTAATTTACTTACTTATCCTTTATACACCTTCCTGGTTGCGCCTTGTGCTTTCATATCTGCTCTGTGTTTACACAGGCACATAGACTAACAGAAAATCACACAGGTTTGTGAAGTATTTGTTCCATTTTTTTTTTTTATTATCCCTTGTTTCATTATCTCTTGCTTTTTATCTCTACTTCTGTCCTTATGTTTTTGCTCACTGCAAAGCACACCGAGACAATCCTGTTACATGAAAGTGCTTTATAAATAAACTGGGATCTTATGGTTGCTGTCAGAAAAATACGAAGCAAAGCTCCAACTCACCTGCATGTCTTCGTCTGTGCTGGAAGAAGCTGCACTCTGTTCCTGTGCAGGCAGCCACAACCCAACACTTTTCAACAGGTACTCTTTGCCTTCCTGAAAACAGTATCAGGCATATAGGTGTAAATGCATGTGTATATGTATGACTGTGCAACTAAGCCCCAAAATATATCATATGTATACCCTCACAGATGAGGACAACCAAATTAGCTTAAAAGGCAAGATATTTTGTTTGCATCACTTGTACATGCTGGATCATGAACGCTCCATATATGTCAATGGCCATTTGATATATAAAGACTATTTTATTTTCAAAAGTATCACCTGAGTGTTCAAAAATAGTTGCTGGTTGTGGGATGCTGTAGTGTGACTGGAGCGAGCCTGGCCCCTACAGCTTACAGCTAGTATTACAGATCCACTTCATTCCACAGATCTCTTGTTTTCCCTCAGTTTGGTGATGTAAGAGCATGAAGTACTATTTGTGGTCATTTGCTCCGCTTTTTAGATAGCTACACCTGCCAATAAAAAAAAAAAGCACCTTTCTATTTCCAATGCAAAGGTCAGCCAGGATGATCTAAAGACACTGTGAATAATGTTCACTATGTTCTTACTTCCTGTATTAACTGGTTTCCAGTTAACATAGGGAAAGGCTTATGATATTTTAAATATGAAATCCTGTCCTTACAGTAAAAAAAAATTACAGCTTAGGAGAACTGGAAATTGTTGAAAATGATGTGTTATTGAAGACACATTAGTTAGCTTTCAAATACAAAATGGGAAGCATTCTTAAGCATGCTCTATAAAAGTGTCTTACAGAAATGTTTGGATTGAATGTTGTCTGCCTTTATTAACAGTTAGTAAATCAAAAATACATAAAATATAATTAACAAATTGTTCCAAAGTCATCATCAGATACTTCATGCTGTGAAGTTCTTGTAGAATATTTTCTAAATGAGTCCAGCAGGCTGCTCTTCCATCTCTCTCATTTATCGGATGACTCTATGACCTCAATGATCTGCCCAGTAATTAACATTCCTATCGGCTGACCTATCTGTGTGTGAGTGTGTTAACGCAAGAGTCCATCTGCTGATTAATGGCATACAATTCAATTTGTTCAGAATAATTAACTCAGCAGATTCTCGCTGTAATGTGGCGATAACTCATCCTGTGTGTGTGTGTGTGTGTGTGTGTGTGTGTGTGTGCGTGTGTGTGTACTGACCTGGTTTCTCTCTGTACTGAACAGGTAACTTGCCATGAGCTGTAGAGCCTCAGGGTTGTCATGGTGATACTGTAATGCTCTCTCAATGAGTTCTTTGCATTTGTCTCCAGCCCCCTCTTCCATACTACATTCACACACAAAAAAAACAAACCCAAATATCAGTTAATTACCGAGGCAGTAACAGGAAATGGGATTATACAAGTCAAGAGTTTAACTCTGTGTGATCTACCAGAGGTCGGTGAGATAAATCTCTGCCACTGAGCAGTAGGCTACACAAACATCCTTTGCTGTGGGGAGCTCAGCGTCTTCATCTGCTGGGGCAGCAGCTGTAGCCTCAGCCTGCTGGAGGAACAGAGAGCAGATGACTTAAAGATTCTTTACTTATAAAAAAACAAAATAGTGAACATGGCATGCACATTTGTAATATTATTAAAAATTAAGTTATCCAAAAAACTGCACACAACTTCCCTTCTCTCCCAGATAAACTCTATCTAAGTCATACAGGTAATATTTCAACATATTAGAGAAGAAAAAGAGCAGTTGTAAATAATGACATTAATGGTGGGTGAATTCCATTTAGCTACACTGGTAGTGTCAATGACCAGGACCCCAACTTCTTACTGGGACACTTAAATCTAATGGAGCCATTGTTTATGTTGTAAGTGAATGCAGTAGCATTGCTTTTCTTTTTATACAATTCAAAATATCAGCTATAAAAAAATACCTTTGAAGATCTAAATTATACAAAAAATGTGTGCCTTTCCTTGTTATCCTTTCTTAGTCAAAATCAAATTATGTGAGAAAGTCCTCGGAAGCAGACTCCTAGAATCATGCATATGACTTATGTCCCTGCATAGCAGGACTGAAATCCAATATTTGGTCTATTTTTGGAAGTACTCACAACTTCAATAATTCCAGACCCTATTTTGATAGCCTAACTCTCGGAACACTTCCCAGCAACAACTGGAATATAACATACTTAAAGCAAAAACTCTTACACTCACTGGAAAATACAGAAACAATGTCACTCTAACAACGGCTGAGCTCATTAACAGATACTTCAGAGAGAATCCGATATGTCATCAGGGACAAGCTTGAAGAATTTAAAGAAAAAACCTGGAACCCATTCCTTTTATATTTGGAGTAAGGTTGTTGTGTGGAAAACACTTAAACAGAACAAATTGAGAGGGAGGAAAAGGAAAAGCTGGTGGTAACTTTATGATCTTTTTGCATTTGTTTAGTATTTTGTGTTGTTTGAGCAAATTAGAAGGTGTTATAAATTAAAATTGCTGTATACGATGAGTGCTTTAAAATAAAAAAATATTAATAAGTAAAATGATCAAGATACTGTAGATAATTATTCATATATTGTACAACAGCACCCTCTTGTGAAAATGTATACCATAACACTAGCATTAAGCCTTGGGTGTAATGGCATTTCTGCTTAGCTCATGAAGAGTATGTGTATATAACCATTGAGGGAATGGAAGTAAGTATAGCGCTTTACTCACTGTGGTCTGGGCTTGTTTTTCCAATGCAGACAGCAACACTTGTATTCCTTTAGTGTAGAAGTCCACAGACTCCTGGCCGGTGTTGATTTGTCCTAGATACATGTACTTACTGTGGCCTACATCTGGGCTCAGCTCCACTGCACGCAAAAAAGCTTAGAGATATTTGGTCAAGGAGGCTCACTCAACTCAAACAGAATGAACATTTAACAGGGTTTAAAGGTGACATATTATGCAAAATCCACTTTTTCATGTCTTTTATACATAAATATGTGTCCCCTCTGCGTTAAGAGATTCTGAAAGTTTCGCTCACTTTCTGTCCTGATCCATTTATATAAAAACCTGTCTGAAAATGATTGTGGCCACTTTGTGATGTCATAACGATTTTTTTAGCTTGTGTAACCATTAGCCAATAACCAACCAAGGTAACACCCGCCCACCTTATCACCTGAATCTCCTCCTAGAGCACCATTGGGTTCTTTTTAACCACATATCTCTCAGAGGGGCGTGGGGAGGGGCTCCTTATCTTCATCAAAAGTAACAGACAGAGAATCAGCACTTTTGAAACAGGGCTGAAACAGAGGGGATTATGGGATGCTACAATGCATAATTGTTTTTGGTATTTCAAGCCAAACACTTTAGAGACATGTTTTGCATATAACTGAGAGAACTATAATGTATTGATTAAAAAGAGTATAATAGGGGACCTTTAAATTAAACAACTGCACATTCAAAAAAAGAATAAACCTGCATAAAGGATATTTCCTTAGCTTTTTCTGTGTCTCCTAGTTCAGAGCAGATGTGTCCCTGCATGTCCAAGGCTTGTAGGTTTGAGGACTCCACATCCAGGGCTCGTTGACAGAAAAGGCGAGCCATCTCAAAATCAAAACTGTCCATGCATTCCTCTGTCTGTACAACAGATAATCACATGGTATAACAAAAAAAACATGCACAAGATAATCAGAAGTCAAATACATTTCAAATGGCATCACTATTTCTGGTTAGTCTTTGTTGTGTATGTCTTGTCAATATCACCTTTTCGAGAAGCTGCAGCACAGAGTACTTCTCAGCTGACTTCTTCTTGGCTTTTTCATGTGCTCTTAGTTTCATTCTTTCCTGAGGTGACACTCCAACAAATCTTGGATCCACTGGTAAAAAAATAAATAGAGAGACAGGGTTAGTTTGAGCTTATTTTGTCTGGTAAAGAGTTGGAATGTAAAGCAAAGCATGACTATTTGCTGTACAACTGTAAATAGCTATCAACATGTTGAATCATTGAACACAATTACGGTTTGGGTTGATGTCTTTCCTCTTCGGCTTGCCTTTCTTTTTGCCCTTAGCCTGTCCTCCCATAATGGTGGAAAATATGTCTTATATTTTCCGTAATTCTGTCTTAAATACAGACTTTCCCAAAGTGTGAATATTACACGCGTGTCAAGCAAGAAAGGATTGCAGTACGCATGCTCTGTTTCGTCACTGGGTGGCTGCTACGGAAAGAGGTAAAGGACAAGCTAAACGGTTCTACAATAACGATTTTACTTTTAATTTTACTATGAAATACTTAACAGTGACACGTTTTTTGCAACATTGCGCTCTAAACCTGTGCTTTAAAACTGAAAAAGCCTATAAAAAAAACCAAGAACTTAAAATGTCTTTCTCCAAAGAACGGATAATTTAAGGCGGGCATTAAATGAATAAACCGACTTCCTGTTGGTGGGCGGGTGCTTGATATGATCGAGACGTCTGTAGCCCAATGAGGTGACGCGTTGAGGCTGAACCCCTCAACGCATCTGCAACTTTCTGGATTTCAACCAATGGGCAGTCACGTCAAATGAACGTCAACGCACAGCTTTTTTACACTTCTGTTGTAAATAAACGAATGACAGAGAGGCTACTGATAGTTAAATTGCTACCAAAATATATAACCAATACGGAATCGCATTACTCGACTGTGTGCCAAGGTAATACGCTTGAACGTTATCTAACTAATGGCACTCAGTATGCTTTCATAAAGCAACGATCGGCATGGTGTCGTGGGAGAGGCAATTGAATGACAAAGCAATCAAAGAGTAGCTGCTAGTAGTAAAGCTAATGCTAACTGCTGACATTACCAAGGGAACTCAGCTCTCAAAAAAATCAGCTTTTATTCTACAACAGCTTTCAAGCTAACAACACCGCAATAGAAAATGATTACGATTATCCTTCTTCTGTCGGTACTTTTAGTACTAACCATCCGTTGTAACGAACGTTATTTAACGTTTATCCAACGGTTAGCTTTATCGCTGATTTATAAAACACCAGCGAGTAATGTTATATAGTATTACACTGATGTGTTGTATACGCCCCATGCAATAAAGTCCACCCGTGTTTAATAATGTGGTCTCTTTTGTATAAACTGTACCCTTAGCACATCTCTCTGTTTCTTTACTTTGTAGGCTGTTGCGGTTAAGTTGATGTCATTCCTACCCACCAGTTTGCTCCCACTGACTGGTGTTGGACTGTGTCGTGTAACACAGGCAGCTTGTGGCCAATGCCACAGGCTCTACCTTCTGAGAGAAGCGGGATATCAACTTTTAAAAGAGTTCCCAAGCTAGCCTTAACAGACCTATCGTGTACCCTCGTGGCTGTTGGACTGAAGAGTGACAATTGTCATGTCGGAGTTAAACCAAGAGGTGGTGGATTTGGTTTGGGGCAGACCCTCCAGTGGAGTGGTTTCTGCATCCATATTCCGCAGATGGACCCAAGGTATGATGAGAATATATTCCACCCATGTTAGGCAGAGAGCCAAGTGTCTCCAGGTTTTTTTTCTATCCCAAGTTTACCACAGGCAATGTATTCTTTTCAATCCTCCTCTATAGCTGATGGCCAACTAAGCAGCTACTTATCCTGTTGTTGTGTTTGAGTTTAGTTTAGTTTATTTATTTATAGTGTCGTGGACAGTCCCCATCAATGAACTGTCACAAAAACAGTAAATGGAGCAGCTTTAGCCGACATGGCTAATTTCCAGCTGTTGTCCCAGGCCAGATGGTAATAGACACCCTTAAAATCACAATATATCAACAGACATATTAAAAAATATAAAATAAAAAAGTTCAGCAGGAATTTGCACTATGGCCTCCAATGTGAACATGCTAACACCTGTGCCTTTATGCATGGTGTCTTAAGAAATGCCTCACCTGTTATCACTGTCAACATGTTTACAGTTCACTTGCCTGTGTTTTTATGACAGGATTTGTTTTTTGTGAGAATGAGCAAACAGCACTGGAGCAGTTTGAAGGAGGGCCGTGTGCTGTCCTTGCACCTGTCCAGGTAAGGTGTAGTTCAACATCCTAGAGGTTCAAGGTTCATTTATTGTCATTTTACAACACAGGGTTGCCCAACAAAAGTCTGTTTGGCTGGACCATGTGTTTAAATAAAAGTTAGCATGTAACATATTGCACCATTTGAATATTGCAAGTGTGTAGACCAAGTTTGTTTTTCTTTACAGGCCTTCCTCTTCAAGAACATTCTTTTCAACAGAGAAAGTTCAAACTGGAGACAGATGACAGGTAGAGAGAACATTCCCAAGCATTGTTTTTCTGTTGTTTTAGGTAGCTGTATGGCTTGGTTAAACCATGCATATTGTATGTTTGTGTCTGTTAGAAGAGGAGCAAAAAACAGTACTGTGTTCCACGCTGAGTGAAATCCTGGAGTCGGCCTGCTCCAGCCCCTCCACAGGGTTCTGCCTGGTGACCTGGGCCAAGGGACAAAGCCCACATAGCAGCACACAGTCACAGTCGCAAACACAGGAGGTGCCAGCGCCGGAGAGCAGCCAGCCTCCACAGGAACAGCAACCCAGTGAGGCCTACATCTGTCATATTTAGAATAAAAGTGCACAGACCTGTTACACTTATTTTCCTAATCCTGCTTTACCAATAATGATACAAACTATAGAAGACTAAACTAGATTAACTATTTTACAGTATGTCGTTTTTTCTGTGCCATGCTCTGATTCTACTATGTGTGTTTTCTTGTGCCAAGCTGCTTTGGCTGCTGAAGACCTTGGCTTTGAGCGATTTCACAGTGTTGTCCAGTAAGTACAACTTAATATTCTCACCACAGCACAACACCTTGCATTTTCATACTCATGACCCTCTTCCTCGAAGCAGATAATCTTGTCATTAAATACTGCTGTGGGTTTCTGGCGGGATTAAGACCTTACAAATCCTTGTGTTACATTTGCCAACATTCAGTACTGTGATAGAGAACTACATATGTGTTAGAAGATACTATCAGCGGGGGGGGGGGTCGTTTGATTAATTTCTCTCACATTGAATTAGCTATTTCACTCTGCTTACAAATTGCTGACCAAGCACTTTCCCAGATTGCCTAATAAAAAAAATTCTACTACCTTTTTAGCACGCATTCTGTCCGTCACAAACTAAGTGTATGCAAGGCTGCTATTGCCAGAGGAATATTGGAATTTCATCACACAGCCTGCTGGCAGCTGAGACCCCAGTCAGCAGAAAGCAGTGCTGACTCACAAGGAAGAAGTGCATGCTAACTGAGACAGACAACTCCACTAGCAGGCTTTCCAGGGTGGAGCGAAGGAGGGTAGTGGCTCCAAAAAGACAAGAACCCATTTTTCTTTCCACTTTGATGCGTTTAGTTGATTTCTTCCACATTGTGAAAGTTATCAATATTAAACTATAATTAATAAACCAGTTATATCGATCCTTGAACCTAACAAATCTGTCTTTTGAGCGTTTCATAAATCATTTTTATGTGTGTGCCCTTCCTTCAGTAAGCGGACTGTGATGTCAGTCTCTGGTCTCAGAGAGGAGGTGTTGTCTCTCTGCCACACCTGGAGGGGGTGCTGTGGAGTCTTGCTTTTCCTCTACTCAGTCATCCTCACTAAGGTAAAAAGAAAAAATGGCAACATAGCGGGAGGATACAAATATGAAATACTGATTGGCGATGTTGTCTCGACTGGCATATTTATTAAGTGGTTATTCAAATAAGACAGCTTTTAAACACGTACAAATATTGTTTGTTTTCTTAATAAGCTTTTAATCATGGTGTTATATCATTTGTAGTATTTTTCTCTGTGTTCATCAATGTTTAATTTAAATGCAGACTTCTTTTCTGTGCAGGGCATAGAGAATATAAGAAATGAGATCCAGGACACAACGGAGCCTCTGATAGACCCTGTGCATGGCCATGGCAGGTAAAAAAAAACACCTCTCTCAGGTTGACGACTGACAGCTCTTCTTTTTTTTTTTGTGGTAAAGGTTACAGGATGTACAGCATTATGTTTTCTCTGAAAGTGCTGATGTCTCCTTTCTTATCTATCATTTCAGCCAGAGCCTGGTGAATCTCCTTGTAACTGGCCATGCTGTCTCTAATGTTTGGGATGGAGACAGGGAGTGCTCCGGCATGAGTAAGACTCGCACAAAGTTACAGACACGCCACATGCACACCACAGATGCATGCACAAATACCACACACAGAATTCAGATTAGTTTGCCCCAGATTTGAACCATATCCACCAGAGGGCAATCATTCTTACATCCCACATCAATGAACAAAAGGCAACAATGAAATTCCAGTTTGATGTAATTAAATTAATTCTCTTTTTGTTGTTGTTTATTTTCTCCCTGTGCTGGTAGAACTGCATGGTATTCATAAACAGGCATCAGTTGGCTTCCTCACGCTTATGGAATCACTACGCTACTGCAAGGTAAAGACGCATACATATACATATTGTCCAAAAGTTTATGACTAATAAAAATGTGTGTATAAGCTAAGAGAGTTCTAAGAATACAAATAAAGGTTTGGTACTTGTGACTCACTGAGATGCAGGACAATGTGTGAACACAGACCACGGGGAGAGCTACAGTGTGAAAATATGTGCTTGGACCAAACCGACTAACTGTCTCCTCTCTCTTTTGGCTTGATAAAAACATGTCATCTGACAAACTTAAGATATCTTGAAATAGATAGATATGTGTTTATCATTGCCAAAATGAACAAATCCAAATACAGCCAAGACATGAACTCTTAAAATAGGCAGCAATCAGCCTACATACATTTAAAAGCAAGTTGATGTTGCCAAAGAGAGCTGGTAAGAGTGATTTTAGACCAACTCATATTAAATAAGGAGAGGTCTGTTTATATTCAACTTTGTATATATTCGGTTTATTGTTTTTGTATGGAAATCAAGCTGCATATAAAGAAGAGCCAGCAGCTAATCAGATACATTCCAGCTGAAAATGAGTTGAACGTAACATCGATGAAATGGGTTTCATAACAGGAGAAGTCAGTATTCATATACAGTGTAATGAACACAGAGGGGGGAAGGAAGTCATTTATTAACATCATGAAAATGTGTATGTAAGTTATACTAAACAATTGACTGAAAATAGACATTCATTTGTAACGCATTCCTTTTATGTGCGTGTTTTCAGGTTGGAGCATTCCTGAAGTCTCCAAAGTTCCCTATTTGGATCCTTGGCAGTGAAACTCACCTCTCTGTGTTTTTTACCAAGGCAAGTTCAATACAGTCGTCCATAAGCAGCAACACATATTTCAGGCACACAGACACAGTGTGTAAATCCTCAGCAGGTTTGAAAAACCAAAATATGGAATGTGCTTAACAGATTTAATATAGTGCAGGTCGGATATCAATGTGGGGAGAAAAGGAGGCAGCAAGGGAGGGGAGGGAAAAATGAGCGCTGGAGATAGTCATATATGGCCAGTGCTGTTCTTGGCTTTTCACCTATCCAGCATTAATGGGGGGAAGGATCAGTTTCCAAAATAAAGGTTACAAGTGCAGACACAAACTTCATCTTTAAGCCCTTTCTTCGTCACTCTCACGCACATGAAAACAAAAAGTTTATGATTGTCAACCATCTGTGATCAACTAAACAATGTTTTGTTCATATTATATGACCATGATGCACCCTGCTGAGTTTGGACTCCATTCACAGTGTACTTCTGTCTACCTTCACTGTCAGGTTCATTTCAACTCTATGGATCACACATGTTACTTTCCTGGAACTTGTTCATAAGAACATGTTTGTTTTTGTCCCAGGAAATAAGGAGCTAAAAAAAGACATCTAGGCTCATGTTTCAGAACAACTGATGATCTTTTCCCCTTAATGTTTTTCATTTAGTTAATGTCTCTACTTACGTAACCACATTCACAGCAATTAACACGCATATGTTGGTTAATTCCCTTGCCCGGTGTTAGTAGTTGGTAATCTTACAGTTGTTTACAAGTCAGTAGCACTTTACAAAATCTTATCCCTGCTCATATTACATTATAATGACAAGTAACACTAACAAGGGCTTGAGTCTAAGTGACTGCTCTTTCCAAGTTGCATTCTGGCTGGTGTATGACTCATTCTGTGCTGCAGAATGCACCCTTTATCAATCAGAAAGTACTACATCAGAGCAGGTAGATTGTGGGGGAAAGGAAAAACAGTTCAGGAAACAGGAAACTCTGAAACCAGGATCATGTGGTCAAAGTGCAGGAAAATGATCCAGACTTCCTAAAAGGGTTCTTGGAAAAAGGACCACAAGATCCTTTTCCTTCCAACTCCGATACTCACCATGTCACAAGGTATATAATACTGATTGAGGTCAACCCTGCTGTTGTAACCAAGAGAAACTTTGAATCTTCAGATTCCTGTGTGTGTGTGGGCGTGTACACACTCACCCAGTTTGCACTCAGACATGCATGTTTATCATCTCTATCAGTGAACATGCAACATGATACATTGCTGAGGCCTATGAAGTAAAGCTGGCAGGTTTGGTTGTAGCAAATCGATTCTTCCTGCTGTTGTGAAAATGGCACCAGAGAGGAAGAAAAATCCCAGGCAATCATCTCCATCATCAAGCCACACCCTTCGTATACCATTGATTAAAAGCTCTGTAACATACATCTAGCTCAGGCCTGCTCGGCGAGTGGATCGTATGTTGGGTCAGTGATGAGCCAAAGTCGTCATGCATGCGCTGATGACTTACCGATTTCTACAACTCCCCCGGCACCGGTGACATGTTCACATTATACACACGTACAATCTGACTCATACACACACATTCCAGAGGTGTGTGTGTGTGTGTGTGTGTGTGTGTGTGTGTGTGTGTGTGTGTGTGTGTGTGTGTGTGTGTGTGTGTGTGTGTGTGTGTGTGTGTGTGTGTGTGTGTGTGTGTTCAGGTAGGGAATGTGATTCCTGGGTTCCCATCTGGATCCATTTGCCCCACTGGAGACTGGGAGCACACTTGAACACACATGCATATGGACTGACGTACATGGCTGACGCTACACTGTGCCTCTATGACTTTGAGTCAAGCAGAAGCAGACATGGGGCAATGCTGGCAGAGCGCCCTCACTTTGACCCCGTCCTCCTCGAAAGGGAATCAATGTTGGGGGCTCATTTGAAGCTGTGATTTCCCAGGCTTGGTGATACAAAAATACACGTTACCTGGTTATGTAGCTTTTAGCTGCTATTTAGAACCATCCCAACAAAAGCAGAAAACCTGATCCCTGCCTCTGATGTGTCAGCGGCTCTTTCTGTCTGCCATTGGGGACGGGTGTGCATTCCCCCGAGTCGCTGTCGGTGTGTGACTGCGGCTTTCAGAGCATCAGCCTAATGGCATTAGTGTTTTTTTATCTAATCTAGCTACACAAAAGCCATTCCACCATCTCTACCCACAACAGCCCCCACACTCTGTTGTGTGTGTGTGTGGGGAAAAAGAGGCTAAGTGTGTATAATGGCATGTAACGGGATCTGTTTTTGGAAAAGAGTTGAGATGCCTGCAGAAGGAGGGACGGGGAAAGAGACAGATGGAGAGCGAAGAAGGATGGGTGATGGATGAGACAAAAAATGCGAGATGTTTCCTTCCTTCCACATCTTTTAAGCAACTATCCACTCCAGTGTACAGCAGGTGGTTCGCCAAAGTAATGAATTCCATCGGGTATCTCAGCCAACCTCTTCAGATTATCGGTCCCTTATGGGAAGGAAATAGGAAGAAAGGAAGGATGCACTTTAAAGAGTGGTGCAGTGGTCATTTGGGAAAGTGGGGGGGGTGATCCCCCTGTGACTCTTCTCATCACTCTTTCCTCTCCCATGCTGAGTGATGAGGTTCACAGACTATCTGCTTCTCAAGGGATGTGTGTGTGTGTGTGTGTGTGTGTGTGTGTGTGTGTGTGTGTGTGTGTGTGTGTGTGTGTGTGTGTGTGTGTGTGTGTGTGTGTGTATAGTCGTGTTCTGGGTCAGTTATTTACTAGGAGAGAGAGAGCAGCCGCTGTGGTGCTTCGTGTCCATTAAGACTCCAGCTCCTGTCTGCAAAATGTCCTTCATGGACTGGTAAAGAGCAGGAACCATAATGCAAGGGCATGCATGTGAGGTTAGTTCAGTCAGGGTTTATTGGCAAAGCAAAACCACAGTAAAATAACAGTATTGCCAATATATCGTTGACAATCATATATGATAATAGTAGTAATATTTGTGTGATAAAATGTCACTTGTGGTTTATTAACTTCCTTTCCACTGGCCATCTAGTTCCAATGGAGTTTACTCAGATGTCAAAGCAAGTAATTTTGAGTTTAGTATATTATATCAAATAATTGTTATGTGGTAAGAGGTAAAAAAGCATTGTCAAAAACAAGTTGTGATATATCATGGGCAAATCACACACAAAGTTATTACACTTTAAACCATGTTATGCATTGCATTAAACCAACTCTAATTTTTCTCAAACAAAGTCAAACTTCTAGTCCCAAATATTATTCGTTTTACATTTGGAAATGTAACATGATATGATCATTTCTGCATAATATGACGCCAGTAATCTTATATACATTAATAGGAAGAAAAGTGTGTTCTTTCCATTTCTTATAATCAGAGGGTGCGGGCCACACAAACGGAACATCACAAAGCGGTGTACATTAACAGTCATTAATAATCTGTGACAGGTCAGACCATGGGACATTGTATCTGGATGAAAAGCTGTCTGTGTGTGCTGCATTATTCTTCCTTTCCCCCTGTGTGTCATTTCCTGTTATAGGACCCATCATTATGCTCTGTAACCATCCTCTGGTGTCACATCTCTTTCATGGTGAGACACGGCCTTTCTCATTCACGACAGCTCCATAAATCACTACTTTGTCCTGTCTGTCACACCTGGAACACTTGCTACAGGGGATATTTCAGACACTCCTTATGGAGCAGGAGAGATAGGTTTTCCATTGTCTCCTGTACTTCTTATCACAGGGGACAGAGGTTAGTTAAGGTGAAAAAAAGACTTGCATGTACTCTACATAACGAGGCATCACACAGACCCCCTCCTCAGCCTGTCATGTAGTGGGGCTGTCGCTGCCTGCGAGGAACAAGGCAGGAGACGCTGTCCGAGACCTCTGCTTTGTTGTCCTGAAACCGATCCTCCAGACGCACTCTATGGCCACTCAGAGCCTCTCAGCACACACAATGGCTCTTTGGCTGGACCGGAGGGAAAGAACGAGTAACCCTAGTAAAGTTCCATGCCTACCTGTCCTTCCTGAAGTACCTACCTGCACGAAGAGATAAAGGACAAAGGGGGGGAAGGAAGAAAGAATGGAAGCAAAAGTCAAGAGATGGAAGGAAGGATATACTCCAAAAGTGGAGTAGCTACTTAGTGCAGCAAATAGGGCAAGAGAACGAACAAGAGAGGCAAAAGGCCTGATTGGTTTGAGATGTCAACTTAAGAGAACCACAACGTCTGGGGACAAGAGGCAGCAGCACATGGGAAAGAGGTAGCAAACCAAGATTAATGTAAAACAACACAAACACTGTATATTGACTACATTACAGTGCTACGGACAAGTGTGGATGTGACTGGAGTCTTAACTCATAAAGTTAACTAAAAAGTGGACTTACAATCGAAAAGCCATTTTCTTGTCAGTTGAAATAGCTAGATCTTCGAGATCACATGTTAGGTATCAAAAATGTATTCTTGTTTTGCTCAGAGCAAATGTTCGGCGTTTCTTTTTGTATTACATCCATTGTGTGGTGTGTTCGTTACTTTGTTCCTACGTAGGGTAGCTTGTCTTTGCTCTGTAAGGAGCTCAAGGTTCTGGGTGAAAAAGTCTGACTCTGTAGTTTGGAATGTGCCCCTTGATATCATAAGGCACACTTATGGATTTGCACTGATGCCAGGTCCTGATTGAGTTTGTCATTGTACTGCATCTCTGCATCAATATGAATGTTTTTGCACAGAGAGAACAGGATGCCGGCTTGTATTAGACTATAAACAAACAATTCTCGGCAGGGGACGGGCCTAATTATTACAGAGTCTCTCTCTTTCTCAGACACACTCACACACTGCAACACAGTCGGGTCGAGAGAAGAGAAACACTGAGATACAAAAACATGCACTTACACACACACACACACACACACACACACACACACACACACACACACACACACACACACACACACACACACACACACACACACACACACACACACACACACACACACACACACACACCTTCCCTGTGGAGTGTGTTAGCTCCATGACATGTTTTCCAACTCAGCAGCATCTTCCTCAGGCCTCTCATAAAACGCAGATCAAAGGCAGCCAGGCAGACCTGTCATCACACACACAATTATGTAATTTTTCTGCTCCCATTGTGCT